ATTGAAATAAGCAGAATGTAGTCTGCAGGATAGATAGGAAGCGTAGACTTAGTTTAATCACCCCCATTAGCATTTACAAACAGAGTTACAGAACACTATTGAAATATATTCATCTCAGAAAGCAAAGAAATAAGATCTTATCTGAATACACCCCTTAGAGCCTCCGACATATACAACTATTACTAAATAAAAAATTCCCTACAACATTTTTGTAGTAAAGGGAGTGTACGCCAAAATATAAAAGGGGAAAAGAAAATATTAATAGATACCTCCAGTATTTCAAAAACTACACAACATTATGAAGAGTCAAACCCCACAAAGAAAATATAATAATTTCTTAATTGAACAATAATATTGAAGGCCTTTTTATAAAAAACGCTTGAAGTTTCATGTTAAACTCTTCTTGGGACGGGCATTTTAAATATCGTTCTGAAGTCATGAACTGTTCCTTTAAAGAGACTGTAGGCGAAATTTCAAGCGACCCTCCAATTATAAAGGGGCAAGCAACTTTTTTTTAAATAGCTGTAGACAAATTTATTAACAATTTCAAGCGTTTCTGTAGATAAATAATCTTTAATCATTCGAAGGTTTAAATTGTACAATTGTGAATACAAATAGGATGTCTCTTAAAATTAGAGCTACGGACCCTTTAAGGTATGTTGAGTTGTGTGGGTGGGGCTCACTGTATGTTTCCTAATATTTAGATCTAGATGACTAGCTGGATAGAACAGTAAGCAAGAACTATACCTTTACCCACACCAGTGGGTTCTACGTAAATATAATTCAGGGGGCTTCGAGCCCCGCTCTTTCTTCAAATGTTTTTCAAGCAATCAAATTTAAAATTTCGCAGATTTTTCTGCTTTGATAAATAAAGCATAAAAAATATAATTTTAGAAGAGTTTATCTCATTTGCTTTGTTAAACCACACAACATTTACAACCAATTCTACTAAATAATAATAAATAATTAAAGACCCAAAAACTGCGCATGGTTTTTTTAATTTGAAACTGTCATATTTTTAAAAAATTGCCCTGAACAATGAACATATATAAGACTAGCTGATGGGCCCGGCGTTGCCCGTGGAAATTTTTTTTGAAAAAATGAGTGTCCACAAAAAATTTCAGCCCAATCGGTCCAGCCGCTTTGCCGGCTATACGCAACATATATATATATACGAATGTCTTGTTTTATTATATAGATGCAACAATTTCAAATTGCTAAATCCTTTCATTTCTTATGTAAGAGAGAGAACAAAGATGGTATTCCACAGTTTTCTGGTTCTCACTGTATGTTCAGAATAGTCATTATTAGTGAAAAATCATGGTAATAAAAATAATTGTAAGAATATTCGTGTTCACAGAAAACCGAGTATTATGTCATAATTAGCTTAACCTTTGAAATCAATATTCAATGTTCGTACTGGAAATTCAGTGCGCTTACCACCCGACTATATATTAGGAGATATTTAAAGAAGAAATGTTGAATAGAAACAAAGAATAGAGGAAAGATTAGAACATGAAAATGTTCTATTTGCACAATTTTATCTTCCCATCAAAATAATCCTGTCTGAACCCTACTCACAGTTTTAGGAACAACTAAAGCAAATTTTAGCAAGAGTGAAGATTAATAGTTGGACTTCTGTCACACTGCAAACATTTGAATTCCTTCAAAAAAAAAATACATATTTTTCTCAGTTTCTCCTCCTAACCCATCCTTTCTCAGTTTGTCCTTTCAATCCGTCCTTGCTAAGTTTCTCTTCTCAATTTATCCTTGCTCAGTTTCTCCTCTCGATCCGTCCTTGCTTACAGCTCAGTTTTGCTCTCAATTAATCCTTACTTAGTTTTTCCTCTCAATTCATCCTTGCTAAGTTTCTCCTCTTAATCCGTTCTTGCTAAGTTTCTCCTCTTAATCCGTTCTTGCTAAGTTTCTCCTCTTAATCCGTTCTTGCTAAGTTTCTCCTCTGTTTCTCCTCTTAATCCGTTCTTGCTAAGTTTCTCCTCTTAATCCGTTCTTGCTAAGTTTCTCCTCTTAATCCGTTCTTGCTAAGTTTCTCCTCTATAATCGTCCTTCTTGAATCAGGAAGAAACTAAGAAAGGATGTATATAGAGGAGAAACTGAACAAGAACGGATCGAGAGGAGAATCTGAGCAGGGATGAATTGAGAGGAGAAACTTAGCAAGTGATGAATATTATATTTCAAAATGTATAAAAGTTTTGAATACTTCTTGAAGAAGATAAACTCTATTCCTGTCTGGAGACTCTAAGGATTAAATAAGTTTTTATAACTTAAGTTCTAACCCCCTAGACAGCTAGCTTAGGCTTTAATTCAATTTGTTTCAATGTTTCCTCAGCAAGATAGTCCCTAAATAATAAAAAAAAAATGCAGGATCGAGTAACTTCATTTAAACACAATTTTACATTTTGTTCAATTCATTTGTTAAAAATAGTTTTCCCAGGGCGTATAGTTAATTATAATCAAATTCAAGATTACAAAACGAATCTAAGAATTTTAGGCAAATTAAAACAAGAATGAAATAAGCTGAAAGCACGAACTGAGTGACTTTGTTAAAAATATAAAAATATTTAAAGTAGGTCTCCCCGCCTAATCTTAAAAAAAGTTCTCCTTAAAATATGTTTTATTTTTGCGACAATACAAGGGATTACCTATCAAAATTAAACAGTCTGATTTTATGGTTTTCTTAGTTTCTGAAAATACTTTTTGAATTATTAAACTAAAATCCTACGATGTAAAAGTTGAAGTGTTGGCTTAGCCTCTTGTCATTTTGATAACAATTTAACAAATTTTATCAATTTCAATAACTCAAGATTAAAAACAGTTTCGTATGTTTGTAATATTAAAATTTTGGTTGGGGGGGGGGGATTTTAAAATTTGCACCTTTGAAATTGCAGATGATGTTTTGAACTCCAAGCTATAAATTAGCAATACAAAGCTAATAGTTGGTTTAGTTAACAATTACTTATGGTGACAGATGAAAAGGGACCGACGCTAAATTTTATTACAGGGTGTCAGAGAAATTATCAAATCATTAATTTGTAATCCTTGAAACCTTTTTTTTCTCGGAAACTCATTTTTATCGAGATAAGGGACTGTCGACTGATTTAAAGTGATCATCAATTTTAAAAAAAACGTTAAATGTCTGATTTACAACGGTACCCTTTAACCCTTCACGGGATTAAAACGGGAAAAAATCGCCTTTTTTCTGTCTAAAAGAGGTTTATTTTTCATTATATTCTTATTGTTCTCTGTTGTATGAATTTCAGATGGAAAAGACAGTTTTTGAAGAGGCAAATTTGACAAGGTTGCATAGTGAATCCGACATGGAAACCCTTTTATAATGAAAACTAATAGATATCCAGTTTCTGAGAAATAAGATTTCTGAGAAATTAGCTTTATCGTAATAAATAGATTTAATAAATAAGTTTTTTACACGAAAATACTTCAAGTATGATTAATATCAACGTTCGTTAACCAGCCTTTAGTTTGATAAATGTAGGGAAGGACTGATTACTTGACTTACAAGAAAAAACTCCAACCAAGCAACAATTATCAGGCCTTGATCACTTAAAATATAACTGTATAAATATTCTTATTTTCAACAATATTTAAAGATCGGTTTATCTATCTTTAGACCCACCCAGCCCTTGGGTATAATTCATATACAGCAGCCAAAATATTTTTTATCTTCTCCTAAAATTCTTGTTGAGTGCCTTGAATTAATCAGTAATTAACTATGTAAAAAATTTTGATGGAATAAAAAAAGTAAATGTTAATGTTAAGTTTAAGTTAGGTTAATTTATTTGCGAGTATTTAAGCATTTCACATTGTTCAAAAGATTAAATTTGTTTCCGTTTTTATCTATCCATGTATATCAATATAAGCATCACTTCATTTATCCATTTTTCCTTCTATGAATCAATCCTTCTAACCTAACTTTATATCCTTCTAACCTTCTATCCTTCCAACCTCCTAACTTTATATCCTTCTAACCTTATATCCTTCTAACCTTCTATCCTTCTAACCTTCTATCCTTCTTACCTTCTAACTTTATATCCTTCTAACTTTCTATCCTTCTAACCTTCCAACCTTCCAACCTTCCAACTTTAAAACCTTCCAACCTTCCAACCATATATCCTTCCAACCTTCAATCCTTCTACCTTCTAACCTTTTATCCTTCTATCCTTCTATCCTTCTATCCTTCTATCCTTCTATCCTTCTATCTAATCCTTTAATCCTTTAATCCTTTAATCCTTTAATCCTTTAATCCTTTAATCCTTTAATCCTTTAATCCTTTAATCCTTCAATCCTTCAATCCTTCAATCCTTCAATCCTTCAATCCTTCAATCCTTCAATCCTTCAATCCTTCAATCCCTCAATCCTTCAATCCTTCAATCCTTCAATCCTTCAATCCTTCAATCCTTTCAACCTTACATCCTTACATCCTTACATCCTTTCATCCTTTCATCCTTTCATCCTTTCATCCTTTCATCCTTTCATCCTTCAATCCTTCTATCCTTCAATACTTCTACCCTTCTATCCTTCTAACCTTCAATCCTTTAATCCTTCAATCCTTCAATCCTTCAATCCTTCAATCCTTCAATCCTTCAATCCTTCAATCCTAATATCCTTCAATCCTTCAATCCATCAATCATTCCATCATTCCATCCTTCAATCCTTCAATCCTTTCATCCTATCATCCTATCATCCTTTCATCCTTCAATACTTCAATCCTTCAATCCTTCAATCCTTCAATCCTTCGATCCTTCAATCCTTCAATCCTTCTATCCTTCAATCCTTCTATCCTTCTATCCTTCAAACCTTCTAACCTTCTAACCTTCTAACCTTCTATCCTTCTATCCTTCTAACCTTCTATCCTTCTAACCTTCTATCAGCCTATTTTCATGTTGCTAATATGTATTTGTATCAAATCTGTCCGTCTACTTGACTGTTTGTCTGTTTATTATAATATTGTGTAAGTTTACCGTCTGGATTGTTGTTCAAGTACTCCAGGTCCTCTGGGGGACTAGACCTGCTCAGGTTCCCTCTACCCTGAGACAGGGGCGGAGTAGGGGGTGGGAAGAAGGTCACAAACTGGCATTGGGCCCCTCCAGGAGGGCCTAGGGGCGCCCCTGCATACAGGTTAGATGGCCCTGATCTAGACATGGAAGCAGGGAGTCCAGCATTATTATTAGTTGGAGCTTGCTGAAGACTTCGTCGATTTGAGCGTTTGTTGTGGCTCCAGTGGAGCCAGAATTGGGAGCCGTGTCTGCTCGGATCCATCTTTACTTTTTCATTAGTAAGGACATTTTCAAAAATTCACTCAGTAATTTATCATAACTTTGAACACTAATGCAAAGTAGGATAGCATTATTCACTTTGGATGATAACGATGAATAAAAACACACATGTGTGTACACTGTACACTGTGGATGAGAAACTCCGGTGTAAAGGTTAAACTTGATCAATCCTTGTCAGCTATCTTCTCTTCTTTACTTCAAACTACACAACCCTCTACACACACAGTTCATACTGCACTTTAACAAACTATGAATGATAAAGGAGGAAGTGGGGGGGATTAAAAATTCTAAATATAAGAAAAAACAATGGAAACAGTCTATGTATCTAAAAAATTAATATTTTAATAATATATAAAAATGTATCCATAATTGTTAGATTATCTTGGAGTAGTTAATTCTAAGAAATCTAAGAATTAATTTGAGTAAATTCCAGTATATTTCATGTTGGTATTTGAAAAACAAAATTGTTTAAATAAAATTAGGGAAACTGAAAATTATAAGCAAAAAATCCTAATTACGAATTTGAAATAAAATTAATGTTTCAAATATGTTACCAATTCATGATCAATGGGCTATGTTAAGTTTATGATCAAATAATCATATATTTGTTTAACCCAAAATTATACAATGCAAAAAGTCAAAGATAAGCAATTGTGTGCGAAATCTTGAATTACATTTTTACAAAACTTTTCGCAGCTGCAAATATATTGCATTGAATCAGTGATAGACGCCGAGTTTGATAGCATACAAGTATTGAGGACAAATCGAGAACAGAATACATCAGGATAGATAGATAGATAGATAGATAGATAGATAGATAGATAGATAGATAGATAGATAGATAGATAGATAGATAGATAGATAGATAAAGATAGATAGATAGACATATAGATACATTAAGGGCACACATATAGATAGAGGTAGAGAAAGATAGAAAGATAGGCATACAGAAAGAGATCAGACAGATATATAAAATATGTAGAAAAAAAATTACCTTTTTTTACCAAAAATTCTTTTTTTTTGTAATAAAAGTTGGTCAATGTCTGGACTTCGGAATTTCTAATTAAATATTTTCACTGGGTTTTTGTTGGATGAATTTAAAAGAAATATAATTTTTGACTAAACTATATTTCTATTCTTTTTTTCAACTGGTGTTTGAATATAATGAAAACGTAATACTTTTCCAAGAAAAGCTTAAAATTCTATTGTTTAAAATGAAAAGTTTGCAAATTTCCATTTGGAAGATGAAATAGACATAAGTAAAGTTGATGAATTGATTGATAGATAGATAGATAGATAGATAGATAGATAGATAGATAGATAGATAGATAGATAGATAGATAGATAGATAGATAGATAGATGAATAGATAAATATATAAATAGATGCATTAAGCAAAGAGGCGATTGGAAGAAAGTAAATAAGAACAAAGTTGATGCTTCTGAAGAAAATCGAAGCAAAAAAAAATTTGTTTGTTTACATTCACCCCCCAAAAAAATTGTAAACAGATGTGAAAGCCAATTTTTTTTGGAGGAGTGGTTAAAGACAGTTGATTGACAGATAAACAGACAGATAGACTGATAGATAAACATAAAGGTGTTTCCAGGATTTAGGGTTAAGTGGGTGAATTATTTCCTTATATGAAGATAAGAAATACCGACAATGTGCAATCACACCATTGCGATTCCATTTCTAGCCATTGCAAAAACACATTTAGTTCATTGTTTAAATCTTATTTTTGGTGCCATAAAAAGTAAAAACTCAACTGTAAAATTAATTTTTTTATAAATCAAATTCATGTGTGAACAAACCTAAGAACATATTCACTTAATTATTTCTTAATTCACTTATTTTCATCACTTTTTGCAGATTGCCTGAATGTCAAAGTGTTTTATACTTTACTAAAGTTTAGAGTGATTTTTTTAGTAAAAATATTTTTCTCGTTTTTTCACAATTATTTAGGCATGAGCTCAGATATACACATTACTCAAAAATTTATTTTTCACACAACTGTGTAGAATGTAAATGAGTTGTGACTTGCTGCGTGGAGTCTATGTTCCATGTTGAAGGTGAATGTTCTACTGGAGAATACTCGGAACTACTAGAGCCTCCAGTCTGTTTCTTTACACTTCTATCTATCCATCTACACACCTTTATCTTATATTCTTTTATTTATATACTTCTATCTATCCATCTATACACCTTTATCTTATATTCTTTCTTTTATATACTTCTATCTATCCATCTATACACCTTTATCAGATTTTCTTTCATTTATATACTTCAATCTATCAATCTATACACCTTTATCTTATATTCTTTCATTTATATACTTCTATCTATCTATCTATACACCTTTATATTATATTCTTTTATTTATACACTTCTATCTATCCATCTATACACCTTTATCGTATATTCTTTCATTTATATACTTCTATCTATCCATCTTTACACCTTTATCTTATACTCTTTCATTTATATACTTCTATCTATCCATCTACACACCTTTATCGTATTTTCTTTCATTTATATACTTCTATCTATCCATCTACACACCTTTATCTTATTTTATATACTTCTATCTATCTACACTCCTTAATTCACATTTTTTCATTAAACTTTGCTTTGAATCAAAAAACTTTTTATTGATTGTGAATATCTTTCAATCGAATGTAGACGTAATTCAGTTTAAATCATAATCATCTCTCATCATCTCTTTTTGTTTATTTTCTAATATTCTAATTCCCCAATTATTTAATTGTTTGAAGTTAATCAAGCCTGCCATGTTTAGCTGATCCGCAAGAATAATTAATACAAAATTTAGTAGATTCAATTAATTCAATTGTTTGTCTAATATAATTAATCTACCGTGGGATATCCCTAGGGAGTGGTTAGTTTCGGTCTGTGGACTAGGGGACTGAATTAACTTCGAAAGGGGCTTACAGGAGACAGACATAGTAAGAAGAGGCTGAAATCTAAAAGCAACATACCTGAAATTATCAAAAAAAAAATTTAAGTGATGGGAGTTAAAATCTGCTTTTATCATTGAACTCCATGCATGGCAGTTCAAGTCTTCTTATGGATTGTGTATTTCTATTTTTTTTTACTTTATAATCTTGATAAGAAAGCATGGTCAGCTTGTTTTCAACTAAGAATAAATGTACTTGCAACACTGTACGCGTGTGCAGTTTACACCCCTGCTCGAAGGATAAAGGGTAAGTGATGTTTGTGTGAAGACCAATTTCAAGCTGTACCCTCTAGTCCCCCTCCCACCCACTGGAGACATTATACAAGAGATTGCCAATCCTTCGCTAGATATTTTATAGAGAATCCTAGACACTAGATATATTCTCATCGGCACTTCTTGCAATGAAAGCAAGAGTATAATTTTCAAGAATTACTCAGGGGGGAGGGGCCCCTAGAAAATTATTTTCGATGTTCTTCTGGGAAAAAACATATATTCCCCTGAAAGAATGTTAGAAAATGTATTATTAAAAAATAATAATAAACAGAGGAGCATGTTTTAGCAAAAATTACGAAAATATCTTTCTACAAATTGATAATTTTTAATTACGGTTTCTCAAATCAACTGGCTTGCGGATTTATACAGCAGAAACAAGTAAGGAAAATAAAATATTAATCTCTTCTCAAACGACGATTTTGGTTTTTTTCTTAGTTGGCAAAATTTTATGAGAGATGATCCTTAATCATGATCATGCTGGAGCCAAGTGAGGGGGGGGGGTGAGAGGAAGGAGAAATAGACAGACATAATCATTTTTATTTTGAGGGTCACTTGAAATTGCGTCACTAGTCCCTTTAAACTATGTTTTGTATGAATTTTCTGCCTGGCTATAATCTATTTATATTTTTAGTTTATTTACTCAGCTACCCTTTTAGTCTTTACCTCTCCATCTAACAGGGCTAAACAGGGTCTTCATTAAAATTATATTCAAATTTTATACAATAATATTCTTTGTGAAATAACTTGTATAAAAATCGTGAAATTGTTATCCCCTGTTTGCTATATTTATTTATGTGCAACAAGATTTTGTAGAAATTTTGAAGGATCTAGTCTAGAATGTAATCCAGGGAAAGGTATTAAATCAAGGGTGTATAATTTTGAAGGATTTAGTCTAAAATGTAATCCAGGGAAAGGTATTAAACCAGGGGGTGTATAATTTTGAAGGATTTAGTCTAGAATGTAAAGCGGGGAAAGGTATTAAATCAGGGGGTGTAAAATTTTGAAGGATTTAGTCTAAAATGTAATCCAGGGAAAGGTATTAAATCAGAGGTGTATAATTTTTAAGGATTTAGTCTAGAATGTAATCCGGGGAAAGGTATTACATCAGGGGGTGTATAATTTTGAAGGATTTTGTCTAGAATGTAATCCAAGGAAAGGTATTAATTCAAGGGTGTATAATTTTGAAGGATTTAGTCTAGAATGTAATCCAAGGAAAGGTATAAAATCAGGGGGTGTATCATTTTGAAGGATTTAGTCTAGAATGTAATCCAAGGAAAGGTATAAAATCAGGGGGTGTATCATTTTGAAAGGGACTTTCCAGTGAAGAGCTAAATATAATATTTTAATTTTTCAAAGGAGTTTATTCTGCATACAAGAAGTTTGAAAAACATTTAGTAATATTTTTAATCATGCATTCTGCAGGTTTAGGGGAAAAAAGGAAAATTTAGAGGATATCTTTTAGAAGTTTAGAGGATGTAATTAAGATGGCCGGTTCCATGGACACTTTTAGAGGTTATAGAGGTAATAATTTGATAGTTTAAACTGTATATTCAAGGGATTAAGAGGATACAATTAGGATTTACAGGATATATTTAAAAAGTTTAAGGATAAACATTAAAAATACGTGGTAAGCAGCGGAATTATGCTTGAAGGAAGAAAAAGTTTACGGAGTGTTTATATGGGATAAGGGATAAATATTGTATATTCATGAAGATTAGGAGATATGACCTAAAATTACCCGAAAGATAGGGATATGAGTAAGAATAATAATAATAATTGTAAAAAAATAATGGTAAAAATAACAATAACAATAACAATAACAATAACAATAATAATGATAAAAATGATGAAGCCACTGTATCAGAAGAAGTTTAGGTCCCCGAAATCTAGGATGTTTTGGGGTACAAGATACATTTCTAGAAAGTTTGAGGATAAAGGATATCTATCTAAGCAAGTTTTTGGGTACAGGACTTGATCAATGAAGTTTTGGGGATACATGATATGTATCTGGGAAGTTTGGGGATACAGAGTATGTATCTAAGAAACTTTGAGGGATACAGGATATGTATCTGGGAAGTTTGGGGATACAGGATATGTATTTAGGAAGTTTGGGGATACAGAGTATGGACCTAAGAAACTTTGAGGGATACAGAACATGTATCTGGGAAGTCTTAGGGATATAGGAGATGTATGTGTAAAAGCAGAGGGTGTTTAGGGGGTAAAAAGAAATGTGCTTTAGTTAAAAAATGTGTAATAAACACTTTTTCAAACTGTTTAATCTCTAGATCTAACGATCTCTTTTCGTGTAAATTTTAAGCAACCACTTTAAAATTACCCTTTGTTTATGATTAATTAGGTTTATTATATATATTTTTATTAAAACTGTTAGTTAAACCAAGATATTCGTATATGCCTATATGCCTATGTTGCGTATAGCCGGCCAAACGGCTGGACCGATTAGGCTGAAATTTTGTGTGGACACTCATGGGTGGCCGGGTGGTGTTATAGACTAAAAAAAATTCAAAAATTATTTTTTTCAAAATAATTTTTTTTTCAAAATTTTTTCCACAGGCAACCCCGGGCTGTTCAGCTAGTAATTTATAAAAAAAAATCTTTTCTGTAAATTAACATATTCAGATAGAAAATAATATTCAGCTAACTAGGAGGGGATCTATTACGAAGGGAGTATTGACGCACATAAATTGTAACGGTTAGTATCAGAGAAGGGACTTGAGAAGGGAATTTTAAAGATACGAGACTCAGATCTAAATGGTGAAAGGAAACTAGAATGAAAAAAAATTAGATTTCAATGGAAATACTAAGTAGGAAAACCCTCTTTTTCTAACGAACACCCCTCCTTATTTCGTCATTAAATATGAAAAACACTGCATGTATTATTTACTTTCAGAAAATGGCATTTCTTTGTACAGAGCTTGGTCGCAGGATTCAATTAAAATGGCTGCATACCGAAAAGTCAGCATGATCATAAAGGAATGACAAATTGAAAGTAACATCGATAAAAATGATTTTCTCAATGTTAAGTGCTCAGATATCCTGGTTTCTATAGAACTGGGTGGACCATATCTAGTATCAGTAATTTACGGCTGGGCGTGGTAAATTGTATCCGCCCCCTTTCTATGCTAGTCAGTAGTCTCATTACATTGTCATTCTTTAATAATTTAAGATTTTCAAAAATTAAAAATTTTGGAGGGATTTCTGTATTTGGTGTGTGGGGGGGAGTATGGGATGTGTACAGATGCTGTATAATTGGAAGTGGGGAATTTTCAATAGAAAAATTATTGATAAAACATTATTCTCCAACCATTTTCTGGTTTAATAGGTTCTCGTAAGATTATCTTTAATTTATAGATTCTTTTGTAGAAGATTCATAGAGAACCGGGTTAGCTGGTAACCTTTCTGTGAAACAAAATTATGACAGGGGTATATATATTTAGGAATTATCCACAATTTTGTTATCCTTTATTTTACACATTTTTTTATCTTATATTTTACACAAAAATTATTCATTTTCCCTAATTGAGTGAATAAAACCCTGAAAAAAATCTTCTGAGGGAAAATTATTTTCATAAGGGGGGAAGTAGTTTTTCTAGAAAATATACACCCCTGAATTATGAAGTTATCCTTGTTAATATAGTTGATAATTGATAATTTCCAAATATGGTTTCTAAAAGACATAACTTGCGGATAATACAGCAGAGCCAAGACGGAAAGTTTTCCAGGTAGAAAAACAACGATATCTTCCTCATTGTTTAATATTCAAATTTGAAGATTGTACATACAATTACCTAGTTTAAAACCCTTAAATACTTTTCCATTTACTAG